TAAGTCCTTCTAAGATGCTAAATCACCTTCATCATCACATAATTGTCTTCATAAACCAAGGACTATTAAGTGTATTAAAATGAAATAGTGGGGTTTAGTACTCCAAATGAACTCTTTAAAAAAAACCCTAATCTTGGCATCCTATCACTATGTGATATTTTGTACATCTTACTGTATTTACAAGTTTATTTATCAAGGATTATCCGTCTTGCTAATAGCTTATTATTTATTTTACTTTTTGTTGTTCTTTATATTCTTTTATTAATGTGCTAAAGGAACCTGTATATCTATTTTGGAACTCTTTAAATAGTCTAAAATAGACTAAAAATGGAATATTTTATAGTTTAAGTTACATACCAAGGTGATTCTCCCCAGACACATATCTTGGTTTACCATGATTCCAAACAAAACTATCTTGTTTTAAAATATTGGGAGTAAAATATTATTTACATTACAAATAGGATACAAAATAATTGAATCAGGATACAGAAATCTGCTGTGTTTGGACTAGTTATCCCTGTTTTATTTTTTCAAATGTGCTTAATTTTATGGTGTAACAAAAGATTTTGTTTGTGTAATGCATGATTAAGACAATAAAATATTTTTTTCTAGTCTTCCAAAAACTTTTCTGATCAGTTTGCGAGTTTTGATGAGTTTTGTAAGGTTTTTGTTTTACAAACGATGAATCAGCAAATTTTTAAGATTGTACCACATAGCAAATGTACAACTGTTGAAAAATAATGTATATAAAATGCATATAATAAATATTAAATTGTGTACCTGTATGTTACTGTTGGCTACATTATTTTGTGTTGAATAATAAAGTGCAATACTTTACCCTCCATCCTAAAACTAGGAAATGGAGATGATTTCCTTGGTGAGTCCTTCATTTTTATGCTGTTCTTTTAAACTTTGTACTGCTTATTGATATTCTAGCAAGATTAGAACAGTTAACACTATAAAGAATGCCTTGCTAAGTATTTCATTCATCCCTCTTGGGATAATAAAATATTCTGTTGACATAAGTTACATAATTCAAAAAGACCAAAAAAAGAAGAAAAGACAGATATAGTTTTAAATCATTTCCTTAAACATCATGTTATTTTATTAAATCTGAATTCATTTGGTAGTGTTGTCACTCCTATCTAGCCATACGTGTTTTCACAAAATGTTCAGCAGAAAATAAACTGCATTATTCATTAATTAAAGGTTGTTCTGATAGTGTTAACTTACTATCTCAAAACTTTCCTTCAACAAGGTAATATCCTTTTTCTTTGAAGGGAATTAATTGCACATGAAATTAGAAGGTAACATTAGAAAACTTTCATTGCAAAATTTTATGTGAATGCCTAATGCAAAAAAGAATTACATTGTGTGTACTTTGAGAAATTTTAACATCTAGCATAAAAATCCAAGTGGCTGTTTTTGTTATTCTTGAAACAAAGTTTTCGGAAATCTTTTAAAAATACTAGTTTTATAGCTTTCTGAACTGAAGATTCAACTTGATAAACAAAGGGGCACTTTTTAAAAAAAAATTCTAAGAAGCTTTTCCAAAGCTACTAGCATTTCTGGCAGTTATTCTAAACCAATGCATTACTGTTTAACTGAAATGTGGTTATCACTGCAATGCATAAACATTCACCTCTTGGAATGTATTAAAACAAATAAAAATTAGTATATATGTTTATTTTCCTATCTACTTTGGTTGTATTTTTCTCTACAATATTAAACATTTGGAAAAAGACTAAGGTTACAAAAAGAATGCTTTATTTTTACTTTATTAGTGTGCTTCCAATTGTGATTTAATGTTAAGTTATATAGGTTTGTTTATTAAATGGTGCTTTATACATAAAGTTTAAGAATATATGCAAACTTTAATATGTTGACTTTTCAATATTTAATATTTTTTGTCTTTTCATATTTTAGTTATTCAGGTAGTTTTCTCATATTTCAATATAAGTTATCCACTGAAGATGAGCATCTCATTTAATATATTTAAAGTTATAAATGGGCTAGTATATTTGAATTTTAGGCATGCCTACAAAAGTTGGATTGTAATACATCTTTTCAAAAATCCTTTTATTCTTTACTCCTGTTAGTTGTTAGCTCTTTATTTTGAGTATGTTTACTTATAAACATAACTAGTGACCTGGTGCACAGATTCATGCACATTGAAAGGAAATTAGAAGGTGGCCAGCCGCGCGGGACTGGGCAAGACGGGCCGGACACACCCTGGAGCCAGCCTCCCACGGTCCCTCCCTGGCTGCGTGGCTCCAACTCAAAGGGCTTCTGCAGAATGAGCTGGGTCCTTGCAGCAGGTGAGGTCCCTTGGCCTGGCCTGTGGGGATCACGCCAAAACCACCTCTCCAACATCCCCAGAGGGGTCCTGGAGTGCGAGAGGGCACTTGCAAAGTTGCTGTCATACTGGGTGTGGAAGGCAAGTATGCAGTAAACCAGATTTGGGGCCAACAGTGACTTAGCAACAACATAACCCAAGTCCGAAAGTGGAATTGCGAGGCCCCGGGAGGAATCGGGCTCCCTCCCCTCTGGTTTTGGGGTGCGTCAACCTAGAAATGCTGCAAAGTCACTGCAGCTTGGCAGCTTCTGTGTTGAATGTCTTCCCCCTGGTGGTCAGTGTGCATCATAGCTACCAGTTGGACACAGCATATTAGCCTTTTATATATGTACTAGAGGCCCGGTGCACAAAAATTTGTGCACTGGGGGGGGAGGGGTCCCTCAGCCCAGGCCTGTGCCCTCTTGCAGTCTGGGACCCCTCGGGGGATGACCACCTGCTGGCTTAGACCCGCTACCCAGGGGATTGGGCCTAAGATGGCAGTTAAACATACCTCTGGCAGCCTGGGAGCCCTCAGGGGATGTCCACTTGCCAGTGGGGAGCAGGCCTAAGCTG